TTTGCCTCTCTGGACCTTCCCTTGCACTGCACCACTTCATAATCTCTTTCCACTGAGCATCCAGTTGTCTCGGCCACCCATCACTCTGTTCAAAACGTCCTTAGTATACCGACACCTGAAAAACAAGTGCAAGCATGTCTCATCTGCGTCAGCACACATTTGGCAGGTAAGTTTCAACAGAAAGCCTGCAACGGTTGAGGAATTGTTTAGTCTTCAGCCTTCCATGCATTAACAGCCACAGCCACATCATAAAGCCTTTTGTCTGGGCAGCAACAATGATTGCCATGTATAAATCGATTCCCCCTTGACTTTTTCCCTCTGGTTTCTCCATAACTCATATCATGCAGCAGTTGAGTAAATGCGACACTGATTTCCCTTCCAGACAGCTTGCAGGTATAATCCAGTGCCATTCCTTCGCCATCAGCCATTTTGATACCAGGGCCTCACTGGCAGTTTCTCATATCTATTCTATTAGCCAACCTACTGCCATGGAGCTAGCAATCATAGGATAGAACAGCAAAACCTGCCTCCAACCTCCAATCTCCATCTGGATTAGATTCTGCACCAAAGGTCTGAGTTGTAGAAGCTTTCCTCCAAGCCCAAGCACAGTCCACAGATATCTTTACTGACCAAAAACTAGCCCCTTCCAATTTACTATCACACCAGGCCTGCCACAATACATTAGATAGTGTGCACAGCTGCCACGATTGTTTATTGTTCCATGCCTTCAGCTGTTTAACCCCTAATTCACCTTCACACTAGGGTAGGCATCCAGGCATCCAATATCCCAGAAAACCAGTGCTATACCTGATTACTCTCTTTTCCCAAGAACCAGACCACAAGAAATTCTTGCAGATCTGCTCAACCTGCTTTATCACTCTTCCTGGTAGGGATGTCAACGGGATCCCAACGGGATCCCGCGGGGCCGGGGAGTTCCTCCCCATCCCTGTCCCCGCGAATGGTAGGGACGGGGATCCCCGCAGGGATTTTTGACGGGGGGTAAATTTTGCCCCCCATCCCCATTCCTCGCGGGGAACGAGGATTCCCGTCAATTAATACCAAAGTATATATTTTTTGCATCAAACATAAATAAAAATTAATTTAACATAAATAATTAAATCAACAAAAAGGAAAAATTGAAGGTGAGACCATGAGAGTGAGTGAGGAGAAATTGTAGAAGCAAGAACGAGAGGGGAAGGTTGAAGGTGAGGTGAGAGTTTGATTGTCCGACCGAGATCAAGAGTGAGTGAGGGGCTAAAGTGAGGGCTGTGACTGCACTACTGTGTGAGTGAGGAGAAAGGAAAATAATAAGGTTAGGAATAGGGTTGGAAGGAGGGTGATGGGTTGGATCGGGTACTTGGGTTGGGTTGAGTAAAATTTAATTTTTATTGAATTGGGTTTGGGTTTTATTTTAAAGGTTAAATTAAATTTAAAATATATATTTTTTTTAATTTTTCGAGAGGATGGGGATCCTTGTGGGGCGGGGAAATTCCCCGTGAAATTTCACGGGGAGAAAATTCCCCCCATCCCCGCTCCGCGGGGAGGAATATTCTTCCCCGCCCTGTCCTGTGATGGGGATCCCCGCGGAGCCCCGTGGTGATCAGGGGAAATTGCCACCCCTACTTCCTGGCAATAGGAAAGCACAACTCCAAAATACCTGGAAGTAGAAAATGATAGAATTAATAAGTTGCACCCTCCATATGATAAATACCTATTTGACCAGGAATTAATTCTAGCCTTAACTCTGTAATATAGGCTGGCAGTCCTGGAAGTAATGAGTGGAATGCCAAGATATCGAACAGGCAACTTACCTTGAGGAATGTTAGCACATCCAGAATGTATTCCACATTGTTAGTAATTGTCACACTGTTGCGGTTCCTAAACAAGAAAAGCCAAATTGAGTGCCTTAGAAATAACTAGAGAAATCTGGTACAAAATGTCACAAGCCGAGGTGTCAAGGGTTTTGAGGTTGATGGAGATGGATTTGGTAACGATGAAAGCTGTTGGTGGAGTGGATATGTTGAGTGAAAGGCTGAAGCAAGCTATGTCGCTATGGCATGGTGCCAACAAGTTATCATTTTCTTGGTGATTCTTTTCAAGAGATAAAGAGATTTTGACGTAAATTAAAAACTTCTTTTAATAGGATGTTTTGAAGTGTCAATAGTTTACATATCCCATATAGGTTAGAAAAAAGATATCAACTAGTCTTAAAATATTAAATATTACTTGTGATTGGTCAAGAGCTGTGTTGATATTATCAATCATGGTACTTGAGTACTGAATATGTACAAATTATGTCTCTTACATTTCAAACAACGAAAATTATGACGTTTTTGAGCTTCAATGCAATCCATTTGTTAACATAGGACAGAATTAAATTAATGCAGACTTTAGTAATTCAAACAAAGACAAGCACCAAAAATACAGATACCTTGCGGAAAAATGGAAGTTCTAAAAGTTTCCAAGATGAGTACCCAAATATCAAGCAAGGAGATTAGACAAACATTAAGGAAGAAAAGAGTAAACCTCATCAAAAAGAACAGCAGACGGTTCATCATCACAGAACGTGTCCTTGGGTTGCTTGAGCAAATCAGCAGCAGAACTGGATCAAAGAATGAATTGACAATAATTAGATGGTTTAGCGGAAATTATAAAAGAAAGGAAATAGCTGGAAAAAGATAAGAAAACCATAATTGCATTGGTTAGAAAACTGGGTAGCATAAAGCCTTCCTGGATACCAAGAAGGAGAATGGGACATGGGAAGGGGAAGGATGGATATGGGGTATAGAGTGGAGGAGGGAGAGGTTAGGTCGTGAAAAGGATGAGGAGGAAGGTTTGTGGGCGATGTTGGCGAGTGTAAAATTAAGAAAAGGTGTGGTAGATTTGTGGCAGTGGAGGTATGCTGTAGAAGGCAGCTATGTAGTAAACACAGCATATGAGTTTTTAGCTTCGGAGGTATGTTTACTTGAGGGTCATTTGTGCAAATTTTTATGGTGTAAGTGGGTGCCTTCTAAAGTGGGGTTTTTTGGGTGGCGGTTGTGTCTAGATAGACTCCCTACAAGATGGAATTTGAGGAAGCGAGGGGAGGGGTGGTTTTACAAGGGGATGGTATGGTGTGTGGGCTATGTAAAGAGGGTGTGGAAGATGTTAACCATCTGTTTTGCACTTGTAAAGCAGCGTGGTTAGCTTGGGCCAAAGTGGTTAAGTGGTGGGGTTTCGAGATAGTCATGCCGGCTACAGTGAGGGGTGTGATGGACTTTTTCCTATGGTGCTTGGGTAGTTTGGCGGGTAAGGAGATGGGAGCATGTATTTTTTTGGTCACTTCTTGGTATTTATGGTATTGGAGGAATGTATTGGTTTTTAGGAGTAATGAGGATTTGGGAGATCAGTTGCTGGAGTTAATTCAAGTGAAATCCTATTTCTGGATTAGAAATAAGGTAAATGGGAGTGTTTTCTCATTAGCTCAGTGGCAGAGTAATCCTACAGAATGTGCAATGGAGCTGAAAAGCTACAAGAGAAGCCTCAAAGAGTTTCATAAGAACCAGCAGCGATATCCTCCCATATAGCTTTCCTGGATGCATGGATTTGGGGTGTCTTTATGCTTTGTATAGGATTTCTGGTATGATTTTATATTGTTGGGAGTGTAAGGATTTTTACTTTTTGTAGAAGGGCAGGAGTACCCCTTGTGCTCCGGTTAATAAATTATTTTTGTTTTGCTGATCAAAAAAAAGAAAACTGGGTAGCATAAATAGAAACCCCAGACAATGAAGTATTTTCTGTCAGCTAACCTCATAAATTTTTTAAGACAAAATGTGACAACTCTGCAGCAACCATCCATCCAATAACGTTGATCATGCAATTCCTCCAAGTATCTCTTGGAATGAAGAT